AAGAAGTTAGCTTTGCTTGCACATCACATAGATTTGAGCCAATCCAATATTTATGAAGTCTTTGGTTTATTTCTTGTTTTAGAGAGCAGGATATATAAGCGAAAAACTATGAACAGATCAAATGTAAAACAGAATGAAGGATTTTCCTGGTCCTCTCTGCAGGATCAGTTAATGGACTGATTATGAAAACTGATGCCAATTACGAAAAAATTAACACATAATGACCAGTATAAAACATGTGAACCTTCTTTGATATATTATATATGTATTTTTCTTGAGTAAAAGTTGTACATCAATCTCTTTTGGTACTCTTGATTTTTGTTGTTGGAGTTTGGGGTTTTGCTTTGCTTTTGGGAGGGAAGCTCCATTGTAGAAACGATTCCACATGCAGCTTTCGTTTTACCTCAGTACCAAAATGATCAAAGAAATCAATAGTTTGATTCTCCCAAGTCTTTCAGGTATCTTCATATGTCAGCTATCATTCAAGAAGAACATAAGGTAGAGAGTTGTTTTGATAAGGACTCCTTACATGCCATTTAAGGAGGATGCATCTTTTGGCATCTGTTGAAGTGAGCGTTGGAGTTGTTAAATCAAGCTTCCCCTTGTTAGTCAGTGTCTTAAATAACAAAGAGAAATGGTGGCTTAAATATATAAAAAATCAACTTAAAAGATATGTCTTTTGGTTTTAAGATAGAATTTTTACATATGATTCAACGTCTCCTCTAAACCCAATGTCATGCCCAAACTCAAACTCCCTTCTTTGTTTGACCATAAACTTGGAGGAAATGGGAAATTATCATGTTCAAGGAGGAAATTTCTATTGCCTATATTTGGTTAATGATTTAATTTAATTGAGATTCAAAAGTCTTTCCTCCCCTCCCTTAAATTTTTCTCAAACCAATATATTTGAATAATATCATTTCAACATCTCTATTTTTTTTTTTTAAGTGCATCGGATTAATATTTAGGATTCTATTAATTGAAAAAGAGATATGAACAAAATAAGAATGACAAGAAAGTTTCTTGGACCTCTTAATGCATTACGTTTATACCCATTAAATTTTCAAAATGTTTAATATATTAATCATGCGCGATAAATGTTTTATCCTTACCTAGGTATAGTAATTTATATATGTTTATTTGATTGAATATTAATTCAGAATATTACCACTTACAAAATTAAAGCCTAGCGCAATTTTATAGAAATATTAACATCAATATTTAATAATCTTTGTGCATTTGTATAGTTAATAAATTTTACTAATTTTAGATCTTTGTGCATTTATTTAGCCTCCTTGTCTAGTAGTGGTCTTAAATTTTGTGTTGATTTATTTTTAAACAAATATATGGAGCAACAAGACTATGAGATGGCTATCATTTCCTTAATGATTTTTCTTCTTTTCTTTTTTTTTTTTTTACTTTCAAAAAAGCAGAAACAGAAACATCAAATTTGATTTTAGCAAAATGTTAGATATGAAAATGACTAGTTTTCTATATATTTACAGGTTTTTCATCTGCATAGGAAGTTCTAGATGTGATTTTTGAACCACAAATATAGTCCACAAGTGCGTTTAGAATTTTATTTCTAGACTTATTCTCTACAAGTTTCTAGAAAATATTAGAAACTTGAAGGTGGATAATTTAAAAGTGTTTATCTGATAATTGAAAATTGAAATAATTCTGAACTTTGGACTCAAGTATCAATTTAGAAAGACTTTAGACACCATGTTAAAATTAAGACACTTGTGATCAAAACATGATCAATGTAACTTGAGAGATGTGATCAAAAGGCATAATCAAGGCAACGTCCATTCGGACATGATCAAACGATGGTTGTTGGAAATGATTAGATGATGATCGAACTTGATTAAATGTGTCCATTTCCAAATGGACATGATCAAGAAGGTTCACACACACAACTAATCAGCACATGACTAGTGTCTATATATAGGTACTTATTAAAGTAGAATTCAACTAACGAATTGTTAATTCGAATAAAAAAAATTTGATTTTTCTTAAATAAGATCTCAAGTTTGAATCTTATGAATAGAAAAATAAGCACTGAGAGAGTTTCTATCTTATGAGATTTGACGTGATTTAATTACAGATTAATTGAAACCCAATATGGTTCTGAATATGAAAAATTAATACAAAAAAAAAAATTTAAGTAGAGTTCAGAACAGAATTCTTAATTAAGTCAATTTTTTGCATTTACAATTGAGTGAATTAAAGATGAAATTTGACATTCAACCAATCAGAAACCGATTGTAGGTAGCATTCTTTAATTATATATAATATCACGATAATTCCACGGTGATGCACGTATATATAACAATTGCATGGCCTAAATCGCACCGCCACTAGGAGGTGTAAATTAGTCGAGCGGTTCTAATTTAGCTACTTTGGATTCAAACTCTAGAACTTGACTCGAGTCAAGTCTAGGATTGATTAATTAATCAAGTCAAGCCCAAGCTTGTGTATGCCCAGCTGAGCTCAGCTCGATTTGAAATCAATTTTAATTAAGTCTAATCAAGTTTCACATATGATATTAAATACTTTAATATAAATCAAATCATTTAAATAAGCACTAATTTCTCATGGCAATATCTTTTCTTCATAGATCTTCGCTATTAGGGAGTTAGACACTAGCTAACGTCTGTAGCTAAGAGCGACCCGGCAAAGGTCTTTGGGCTCTTAAATGGAGTTGGGCCAAAAGCTTGAGTCAATATTTTTAAGGAATAATGTATTTTAAAATAAAGAAATATATAATATTAAAAATTAATGCATATCAATCTTAATTTTTTTTAAAATTAGAGTTTTAACTTAAATTTGAAAATCAATATCTTAATGTAAAATTTAGAAATTTATGTTATTAAATATTAATACTTTAACTTAAAAACCGATTATATGTTTTAATATAATTAGTTTTTAAATTTAAATATTAATATAATTTAAAATTAAAACTCTAATTTATTTTAAAATTAAAATTGATATATACTTTTTTATAATATTATAAATAAAATTTAAATAAAAAATTAATTATATAATAAAACGTAAAAATTGTAAACCTTTCTTTTCAACGTGAGATTCAAGAACTAAAGTTTTGTTTTTTTTTTTGAACCATGAGGAATTATAGGGGAATGGAAAAATTTTCAAATAGTTGGAGGGGGTATAACTCTCCACTAATTAAACCTAAATACTAAGATTCAAAGACGAACAATTAAATTCAAAGACCTGGTTTGGAACTAAAAGCCTTTGTCACGGTGGAAGCTTGAAAAGCCCACCAGGCTAAAAGGCCACCTTTATGGGTATTGTATTGGGCAGCAGCTCGTGATTTGGTAAAAATAAGATAAATATGAACTGTAAATTTCAGATTGAGGATAGTGGTCCTTCTCGTGAAATTTTTTTTTTTTTCAAAATTTGTTTAAAAATTTATTTTTTAATTAATATTTTTAAAAATTAATCATTAAATTAAAGTTTTTATTCATATAAATCATGCTTCTTAGTTTTCATATTAATCTAAAACTTATAATTTTTTTATAATAAAACTCTATTTAAATATATAATAATACTAAATTTTTTTATAATTAATGAAGTAATTAGATCTATTAAAATAATTTTAAAATTAATACATATTATTTATATGAATAAAATTTTTAGTTTAAGAGTTAGTTTTAAAAAATAATAATTAAAAAATAAAATTTCAGAAATATTCTTTAAAATAAAAATTTTAAAGATCGAAATGTAAAACACATTGTCCTTTCAAATTTCAATAAAAAAAATTTTGAGGTTATTTATTTAAAACCTACTTCTTATCAATGAGATACAAGTTCAAGTGGTGTCAAATAAGATATTAATTTAGTGTTTATTTGACCTAAATTTCATGTTTAAATCCTGTGCCCCAAATATTAATTGAACTATTTGTTTAAGCCCTTTTATCTATGATGAAAATCAAATATGATTTTCTAGCTTCTCTGCAGAATCCAAGATTTCTCTGATTGGAGTAGCAATCACTTTCAGAGTGTGTAATCTTCTCGTCAAATTTGTCTTGAGATTCTCAGTTTACAGAACTAGGTCCTTGATTCAATGGATACAAGCATTCCATACAAACAAGAAAAAGACACATTCAAGCACAAGTTCTCATGCTTAAAAACTACCAAAAAATATGTACAAAAAAACAAACGAAAATATATATAAATAAATTAAATGCTAATTTTGGTCCTTCAATTTAAGGTTTTACATAGTTTTTATCTCTTGATTTTTTTATACTTTTTTTATTTTTTAATTATGAAAAATGCACTTTTAAATCTTTCATTAAGTAATCCGTTAAGTTTATTTAAATCTGCACATTTTTAGTCTTTCAACTTAAAGTTAAGGAATTACAAATGTGCATGTATTAGAAGTTGAGAGATTAAAATGTGTAAATTCAAATAGATTTAATAAATTAACTGACATAATGACTGAAAAAATACACTTTTCATAGTTAAAAAACCAAAAAATAATAAATAAAAAATGATGAAACTTGTGTAAAATCTTAAAGTTAATGGATCAAAATTGACATTTAATCATATAAAATAAGATAAATAAAAATGCACGCAGAACATGAGATAAACACCTTAATATTAGAGATTATTACCATCCACTAATTTATATTTTACAATTCAATTTAATTTGGATTACAAAATAAAAAATTCTAAAAATTATATATTATATTCTTAAAATATAAATTCTCTGTTTTGTAATTCAAACTATATAAACTACAAAATACAAACCCTTAGAGGGAAAAATAAAACTCCCAATATCAAAAGATTCATCTCATTCAATGATAAAGGTTTAGCAATACTATGCAATATGGACTGCACAACACTTTTCAAAATATAGAGCACACGTTCCAGTAAGTAAGGAAGGCACGGTTTACAGATATCTATCTTGGCCAAAATTTCCAGCATTTTTATTGAATACTAAATAAACATTTACATTGCCTAGTTTGACATTGTATCCATAATCAACAGGAACTAAAGAGTGATTTCCTCTCGGGTTTTCTGACAGATTGTCAAGGAATCCACAAATGAGGGAACCTTAAGAAGTACCTGAATCAGAAGACCTTGTAATGACGCAGATCATGAATCATCACTAATATACAAGGGAAAGTTGGAAAATGGGAGGGTATTCCCAGTTCCAGGTACTGATGACAGCCTAACTCTATCCTAATTAACAGTAAAACATTACTCTTTTTACATTGTCCTTCAAGGCTGGCAATGGTCGGACCCCAGATTCTCCTGCTGCACGTGTACGTTTGGTGTTAACTGCACCACCACCGCCTGTTGAGCCATTCTCTTGCATCTCTGGTTCCATGTAGAATCGTGCTCGAAATGCAGCTAAATGTGCATAATAAGCTGGAGGAACTGCACATAAACAGCAAAGTAGCTAGTTATGAAAGAAGCTGAGGCCATGATATTTTTACTATCATGTACTTGTTTAATAAGTTGACAAATTTCCAATTCATTTCTCTTCTGTAATTAAGAAGATTGTTTCTGAAACCAACATGAATGAATGAAGCGAAAAAGATGCAGATAAGAAAGCATATCATGAATAGCATCTGCTTACCAACAGAGACAGAACGCGTGCACCTTGCATACGTATAACAAAGATTGTTTGTCAAAGACTGTATTCCATCTGCCGTAAAATTGTTCTCATCCCAAAGAACATGGTAGTGTGCTGGCCGACTTGTTCCCTATCATATATGTAGAGATGATGAAAACTCAAGACAGTTGCACTAAACAAACAATGACGCTAGAAAGAAATTCCAGCTCCTCCTTATTAAAAATGAAAGGATGACATGTGGATCGTATTCAGATCATTAACACAGGTTGAATACAAATTAAGGCCAGAGCTCTTTGTCTTCTATTCTGGTGGTACAATCTCAGGCAAACATTTTTGTTAAAAAGATTAAGAGGATTTTAAATTTCTACCTGAATTCCAGCATGGCTACAGAGATAAAAATCAAATTCTGTGGGATGACAGATTTTAGAATCAACAACAGTACCTGAAAAAACAAACACAACATGAGAAACATCATCAATGTCTATTTCTGCAACAATAATATGTGGTTTAAAATCTAATCATTCGGGAGACCAGAAATATACCAGGCAGAACATTGCCACTCTTGTCTGTGCTGCTCCGGTCCCTGTAATTATTAGCAAACAGACGGGTGTGGTGTCGTTTTTGTACAATAATGAAAGTCACCGGTGGTTGATAGTTTGGTTCTAGAGAAGCGCAAGCCTGCAAACAAATTTATTCAATAGAGCCTTAAATACTTCTTTTCTTGGTTGAAATATTTTAAAATAGTGATTAGTACAAAGCGTAACAATGCTAACCTTCCGGATTGCATCCAACTCATAGAGTAGAACTTGATAAAATTGCCCTTCACTTACACCATCCCTGCTCAAATTATTTGCTCTTATTACAAAAACTTCATGCATATAAGGTTTGTAAAACATGGACATGCAAATTGTGAATCTACATCCAAAACTGAGATATATGGAAGTATTTTGCCATCAAGATATTGAGGATAAGCAAAATGTATGCACTAAGGAATGCACCAAAAGGATAATTGCCAAAGGATGAAGCATAATGGAAGCTTGAGACGATTTTAGACCTCAATACGGTCTGGGAATCAAACTTCAGTTTCAGGTCAAAATCTAGAACTGAGTGAGGGCAAGAATAAACCTAGTTGAATACTGTTACTAATGCATGTTCTTTGTTCCAACTTGCACTTCAGCTACCTAAATGTAAGTACAGTTTTAGAAATCAATATCGAATGATGCAGCACTTTGGACAGGAGCTTTGACCTGTAGAATATGATCCTCAACGGCTTCTGCCCTGTTGCCTTTCTAAACGATAACAAGAGATCCCTACACAACAAAATGTCATTAGAAATCAAATACTTAACAAAAACAGAGATTCAGCTAAAGGAAATATTTGGAATTAAAAGATATCCAGCATGATGCTCTATACCTAATCATGCCACCACTAACTTTGCCACGGACAGGATCCTGCCAAGTTTTGTACAAGTCCTGTATGAGTTCCTGCCTGTGGGCTTGAGCACAAACTAGTCCAGCATATTTTGTCACTTCTGGCCAATCTTGAGAAGCAACTACCTAGAAGACCAACATATTTTTGCAACAGAGTTCCAGCAACTAATGCAGATGAAAATAAATTTGAGAAACATAAAAGGAAAAAGAACCATACAGCAGCTATTGATGGGCTGGAGTCTTCTCCATTTTCTGGGTGAGTCACATCTGCTCCAAATATTATGGTTGGTATATCACTAACTAATGGTATCCTGCAGCTGATAGCATCCAGAAGAACAGTATTTCTCCCACCCATCTGCATCAATTGAAGGAAAAATAAGATATTTGTTGATTAAACTTATGCCACAAAGGAGGATGTTCATGAGGAATTGAGAAGAAACAATAGTGTTCTGAGATGAGTTTAGAAGCATCGATTGGCTAAAAACAGTATTCAAGAAAAATTATGGAAACAAATGAATAATACATACAGAAATGTAACAAGTGACATAAAACTTGTACAGCAATATAATTGCAAGTGTAGTAGATCAAACCTTAACATTGATCTTAAGGGCCACATTAGCCAAATACTGCTTACTGATCTTGAAGACATGTTTTGTGAGGCAGCATTGTGATATCAATCCAAGATCAGTTTCACATATTCGCTTGAGATCACCTGAGAAAGCAATTACACATTGAGATCAAACATATTCTTCTTTTATACCCCCCCTCCTTTTCTTAATTGAAACACAAATTTGTAACAAATGACATACCATATAAAGATCCATTGTTGTCAGGCAATATAGCTAATAGAAGTTCTAAATCTTTTCCCTTGGTTTTGTTCATGGATGCCTGATAAACATGCTTCAAAGCTTTTTCCACTTGGTCAGGCTTGGCGCTGTAGATTGGTATGACAGGTTCTGGATTGAATTCCTATGCCAGCAACAAATTTTATTTTATTTCCTTTAATTAAAAATACCATATCAAAGGAAAAAATGAACTAGAAAGATGATTTTAGGTATGCAAAATTAAAATAGCAAGAAAATTACCATGCCAGAGATTTGGCACGTTTGAGCAAGTTCATTGCAAAATCCACGAGCAACATTCTCTTGCACATTCCTAGAGAAGTTAATGCATGCCCATCGGCTAACTGTCATCCCATTAATCATTTTCTAAATTACAAAAGAACAGCAGACAAGCAGATCAGCAACAAACAAAAGGACAGGCTAACCTAAGCGATAATGATAAAACCCTTGAAATATAATTACTGAGCGAATATCCAACTTAGCCAACATATGAAAATTTTATAACATTTAGAATCTGCATGGATTAAAAAACCTCTGGAACAAAATGGCTTATGTGATGATAAAGAGACATTAAAATACAAAAGTTATTCAAGTTCATTACCTTATTAACCATATTCCACTGACCTACTTGAGGCAAACAATCCTTCTCTTTTCCAGTTTCATGATATTTAAGCTGCAGGAAATAGTTGAATTAGACACTCGAAAATAGATAAGAACCCCCTTTTTGTTTTAGATCATGCAGAAACAAGAAGAGACCATATTACCCAAGGAGCAGGAAGGATTCGGGCCTCAACACATGCCAGTTTTTCACTGATCTTGATTCCAAATTCCGTTGCATAAGGGTCTTGATAATAAGCATTATGCTGAACTGTCTGCTCAAGTCAAAAGTGTATTGCATCATGTACATACTCAACAAGGTAATTTAATGTGCACTGACCAGATTATGACATCACAAGTACCCGCAAAATGTCATTTTCTCGATCCCTTGGTCTTTGGCATGTAACCTTTAGAAGATTTGTAATTTGCTTCTCATTCAACCTCTTTGTATATCTCTGTCCTTCAACAATTTTGCAGGCCTGGTAAAGAAACCATTTAGATTTAATGGAATCAAATCTTACCAGATTCTCAAAGAACAACAAAAATTGAGCAAAACTGTCAAACCTCCATTGGTAAATAGTTTGCCTTCTTCTGATTTCCTCCCACTTGAAGGCAAGGTAAATGTGTATGCTGAATGGTGAAGCCATACATCTCCTGGAAATATTCTACAACTGACTTCATTGTTGAGTTGTCATCTACAGGAAACCTGAATGGATTACCATCATTTGTTATTTTCTGAAAAAGGAGGCATAGCTTTTTTATTAAATTTTCATTATAGCTTCTAAATTGCCTCTAATCGTTTCTTGACCTCGGTAATTCTTCAGAAAAAGATGTTCAGTAGAATAGATAATTATAACCACAAATCAGGGACTCACACTAGTTCTCTGGTAGGTTGAGATGTCAATCCTGAAACACGGTACTTTCTCCGTACATTCCCTCGGTGCGTTACCTCAACTTTCACTCCTCTAAGAGCCTTTTTAACCTGGTAGTGATTTGAAAGTAAAATCTAATTAAATTCATCCCCAAAAACAAAACCAGTCACAATTCACATGGATGAAAAAAATAAAAATAAAAAGTACCTTCACTCGATCAGAATCAGACAATGTCCTTGACAGTACATCCTTGCCCAGAAGTTGAGCAACAAACTCAATAACTGGGAGAGGCTCAATGAATGCAGCTGAAGCCATATCTACACCAATGAAATAGCCAAAAAAAGAAATAATAATAATAAGCATCGTTTACAGTTGACCATAAAGTACTTCAAACAACTTAATTTATCATTATTCATTTACCAATATTCAGAGACAGCCCCATCTGGGTAGGCCTAATACTCTGGTAAAAACCACACCAGGACTCCAGGCCTTCACCAAGTCTTTGCCGTTCTTTAATATCTGGTGAAAAGAAAGATCTCCCAATGGGGCAGAACCTTCAAATGATCAGGCAGTGTTAGATACATGAGCCCATACTGATTAATTACCAAAAGAAATTTTTGAGAACATAAATCCTATAACAAAGTATACCTCTTCATAGAGAGCTCTCTTAGTACAATGTCAAGAATCTGCAGAGCTTCCTGTGGAGCATCTGCCCGCTTGCCAGCTAGGAATTGCCCTAGATGATGCATATTTGCCCGTGCAACAAACTTGATTATCACTTTGTATTCTCTTTCTCTTCTGAAAAAATTATACTCAGGCAATTTGAGTACATGTACATAAAGCTAAAGCAACATTAAAATGAAAGAGAAACCAATATCAAAGAAAATAGTTTAAGTTGTTAACTACATCTAATACAATGGATTTGATTTTTGAAACTGTTTCAAGAGACAACACTAACATGACACAAGCATTAAGAAACTAAATGGCATGACTAAGAGGCTGTTTGGTATAATGGTTCGAAACTAGCAGTTTTGTCTAATCTAACTGTTGATAATTGTTATGTTAATAATTCAAACACTCTTATTCATTGGATTAGATGAAACCACTAACCGCTAGTTTTAAACCGTTATACTAAACAGGCCGTTAAAGGAATGGACAATTAATACTTACTTGGGACCATTTATTCCATCTTCTTCATCTACAAGCTTAATGGTAAACTCTTTCCAACCAAAAGGGAGTTCACCAGCTGTGTATAGACTCTTTCTACCATCATAAGCAGGTAGTCTCATTCCTAGGTCTGATTCTTTGTACAACCTCACAAGCTCTGCCATAATAGCTCTGTTCACAGTTCTTGATGCCACTTCAGGAGTAATGGTGACCTGCAAAGAAGCAGAACACCAGTTTGTAAAAAGGGGGAAAAAAAAAAAAAAAAAAAAAGAGCGAAAAGAACAAAATTAAAAGCCTGAAACCATATTTAAATACCATAAATGCTTTAAGAAGTAAAGGACAGTGAGAACAGCAAACTTCTTTAATTTCATCTTTAATGTAACAGCGAAATAAAAAGACATAGCAGCATAAACATGATAAATGTCAGATTAAGGGGCCCCAAACTGCTGTGACAGAAAACATAAAACCACAACTATAAGGAATTCAAAACAATTTGTTTTTGAAGCAGTATAGTATATATATCAGGTCGGACTGTAAAAAAGCATTCTCTTCGAATATATAATATACAACCTATAATATGTACAGTATAAAACCCATTTAAGAAAATCAACTTACATCATACTGGTTCAGATCCTTGTCTGGTAACTCTGCAAAGAAATGGTTTGCCTTCACAATACACTTTGTCCCAAGCTGCCCATAGCCAGGCCTAGGTGCAAAACTTAAAGACTTGCTTGAAGTAGGAAAACCCATTTCCATTTGACACAAAATGCGGCCATTCTCAATAGACTCATTTGTGGTAGTAGCCATGATATCACGAGTTGGATTCACAGGCTTATGTGCCACAGTACAAGGCCTTGAACTTGGTCTCATACAAACATCTCCTTGATCAGACTTTCTACCACCTCTTCCTCTTCTCCTTCCCCTATTCTTAGTTGGAGGTGATGTTTGGGAATGAGGTCTTGTGTTTTGTGGCTCTTGAACCGGTGGCCCTTTACCATTTTGTGAGGTTTTCGGTGTTCTTTGAACTGGATTCATGGTACCCTGCAAATGGGCTTTGATCACAAGGTGTTGTTCTGAGCTCTCCTTCATCTGCCTTACAGGCATACTGCTTGGTTTTCTGGCTTGCTCACTGAAACTGATGCAAAGCACAGTAACCTTTTCAGATGACTTGAGATTAAAGATGGGTCTTTTTACCAAAAATGATACACACGCAAGACTCTGGCTTCTCTTCTAGTCTTCACTGGTTTACCCCTCACGGCTTGAGTACCATTCCTGATTGACAATTAACAAATTGGGAAAATGCCTGTCAGTAGGAAACTGAAAATGACCAAATTCTGCAAAAACAATAGTGGAACAGGTACAATGATGAAGATGATGATGCATCAAAGTTGCATACGGATGGTAAAATGGCATCGGTTAGACAAAAGGACTCAGACTTGTTGCAGATTACAAGCTTTGCCATTCCTTTGCAAAACAGAAAACCCAACCATTCACCTCCATCTTAGCATCTACACCCAGAAACGTTCATTACTGAAAATTACCAACGGAAAATTATACAGGAAAAAACAGGAGTTGCTCTTCATCTGACCGGTGATTGTGGAGCTACAAGAAGAAAATATCGAACACAAAGTCCTAAACAGGGCTTGTTGCTACTAAAAAGGTGGTCTGAAATTAGAAAAATGTACGCAAAGACAAAAATGAACATCATCCCAAAACCCAGATCATCTTGAGATCCTTCTATTATAAACCAATGACCAAATGACCATGAAGAGCAAACATAAATAAAATAAAATAAATTAGAACAAAACAGTGAACCCAGGAAATGGACATACCCAGAAGACAAAATCTTTCCCTGGAGCCTTGTCCCTACCAAAAACTGAATTTTATCAGAAGAAATTCGCACCAGAAATGAATAGACCCAAATAGATAAAAACACAGCAAGAGCACTAAGGAAAATATTTGTTTATTCTAAGAGTGAACATATACACTTTGAAACCATTGGACTTGGGATGGAATTACGGATCATAGAAAGAGAATAAAACCACCTAGAATAAAACAAAAAACAAGAACTTGAATACAAAGAGAAGGAATAAACATTGAAAAGAGCACTGAGAAATCACCATCCAACAAGACGAAAAAAAAAATTAAATGCTAAAAAAATAAAAATAAGACTAATTAAATGCTATCATCACATTAGAACAACCCCACAGATTTTAAAACTCACCAAATTCTCAGTTCATAATGAAACTGAGGTGGAAGATTATATAGACAAAGTAGTGACCTTTGAATCAAAAAACTCCAAGAAATGGAGAGAATGGGAGCTTTTAAAGATGGGGTTTGCAGAGAACGTGAAGGGATTGAAAGGGAAACCCAAAAGTCGAGATAAAAAAGAGAGTTTTGTGGGGATTCAGATTTTAACAGAGAAAGAGAAAGAGAGATGATTGTAATGGTGATGAATGAATCTTTAAATCTTTTATACACGCATGCAAGTGCTTTTGATGCTCTCTTTATCACGTGTAAAAGGCTTGTGAGCCCCTGCTTCCCCCCTTTGTTGCCTTTAAAGAATGAAACCCCCATTTTCTCTTTCATCCGTCTCGCTTCTGTCTCGAGGGCACCATGGCTCTCTACCTAGTCTAGGCATTATAAAAATCCTGTCTTTTAAGAGAGGAAAAGGAGAGAAATTTGTGTATCTACAAAGAGAGAGAGAGAGTGAGAGGAAAGTGGTGGCATTGCCGCATTGCTTGATATGTTGTCCAAAACAACTTCTGAGGATTTTATAAAAGCAATCACAGAAGAAGAATAATTCGAACTTGCAGTCCCCTCCCCTGCAGACTTCTCCATGTGGTGCACTCTCTTCCTCTCTCCTCTTCCTTCGTCTCTAGTTCTCATTTGTTTATTAATTAATGTATATTAATGTAAATGTATACTAATGAACGCAACAAGATCAAATTTTTTTTATTTATCTACACATCACCATCACCATCACCATCACCATCACGACCCATCTCAGGCATTGTAAATTTGTTACAGTCGGATTCATAACTCACTGCAAAATTCAATGTTACTCCTTTTTGTTGTTCAATGACAATGTACTGCATTGTTAAGATGTTGTCTAGGTGGGTCTACCATTTTGTGATTGTAGTGGGGTCCTAGAAATCAATGGGAGTGATGTGGTCATGAAATTAGTTGCATGTTCCATACTGCCTTATGATGGATCCTTGGACTGCGAAGTATAGGACAAATTGCGCAGAAGAGAGAAGTATTGATCGTGTATGATGACAATCTAGATTTGGATGAGATTTAGGGCCCACTTTAAGACAATCTACGGTTTGATGAGGTGAGATCAAGCCTTTGTTTGATGAAAAAGCACCCCCACTCATTATGATTTGGATGGTTCTGCTTGAGTGGAGGGAACTGCTCTGGGGGGGATCATTGCTTTGTTGACAATGGCCTGAAGATACCATGAGGTGCTTGTGTGTAGTAGCTCATGCCATGAAAAAGGACATCCTTTTTCACGTAAAAATGACAATCATGATTTATCTTATAAAAATTGTCCCATTAACTGGCTTTAGTTGAATCGGGTTAATTTTTATTGACGCCCTGAAAAGGTTCTTAATTTTCCGTAATTCTCCCATGTTAAAAAAAAAAAATGGCGCTAGTTGAATGGCACCTGCTCCTGGGTTCAAGCCTAGGAAACAACATCCTAACCCCCTTCCCTTGTAATTGTAATTGTTAAAAAAGTAAAATAAAAGATTAAACTAATAAGGTTTTGGTATACTTTTAACCCCTTAAGCATTAATTGATCAATGCTTAAAAGATTTATAATGGTCTCATTTGACATATATTTTATAAGTTTGAAATTTAAATCTTGAAATGAATTGCTATAAAATTGAATGAGAGAACCTCTATAGTCATCGCCAAACAGAAAAGAAGATAAAAATTGATTAGCTATTTTTGGCAAGAACAAATTGGATTAACTATCAAGTGTCAAAGATAGCTATATAGTATATCATTATATATATAGGACCCAAGAAACCCAAAATAATAATAATAGTATCCAATGCACACTATCACAGATGAAGGAGGACCACTTGAAATTGAATTTTGTTAAGCTACGGATCAAAATGAATCAAAGAGCAAGAAAGTTCCTGTGATGCAGAGTACAATCGTCCAAAGAACATAGGTTCGCACCCTATTATGACAAATGTACTCTCTCTTAGGTGGTGGTCCTGGTGGCCATGAACACAAAACTCCATCTCACAATAAATGCACCAAATCATAACCCCCACTGAGGTGAGTTAATTTGTGGGGTATGGGCTTGTTTTGTTTTTACACGTAAGAAGTGGGTTTTTGGAAATTTCCCATTTAACAACAATGAGGATATTATAGTTTTTAAGGACAAGTGATATATGATAGATGGGCAGGGTTTGTTTTGTCTTAAAGGAATGGGATTGGCATTTGTTTTGTCACCCAAATTAAATAAAAGAGAACCATGTTGTGCTTTAAGGACAAGAAAGAGGGATAATGGTGGAGTTCTCCAAAGTATGATGCCTCTTTTTACCAAGAGAATTGAGGAGAGCGTGTGGTGGGATCCATTCTCCACATTTCACCCTTAGTCATGTATATGATAATAAGCACATCCAGGCACTTCTCCATTTACTTTGTTACTATCTTTCCACCCATCTCAATGTTGGGTGCTTTTTAATTTGGAGACATTTTTTCCCTTCTTTCTAAGAAGAACTGAAAAGGACTTTGACTATAACAATAAATCAATAATAATCAACAAACCCTATACTCTCTCTTTTATGTTAGATTGCATAAGAAGAAGTATTTTTCTTTTTCTTTTTCTTTTTTTAACTCAAATTACTTGCATATTATTTATTTCGAAACTAAATATTTTACTTTCACCAAAAAAAAAAAAACCACCCTCTAGTTTAACATATCTTTTAATATCAGTTATTAAAATATAATATAAATATAACATAGATATAATCAATTTAACATGTTCTTACATATTATGTATATACTACATTTTTAAATTTATCTATATTTAATTTTATATTAAAAATAATAATTTTTAATAAATATATTATATAATATATTAAATTGAAATGTATAACAATCAGTATCCTTAAAAAAAACCTATATGAGTAAGGTGTTATTCCTAATTCAAATTGAATAAAGAACAAAGAATTGGCTTAGTTGTTAGGGAGGATGATGGTCAATGTTGAATGTTTTATAATTGTTATTATTTATAATTTAAATATTTTTATTTGTTTGATTAAATAAAAAAAAGAAGAAGAAGAAGCTACAATCATTTCTTCTCTTCTTGTCTAAAGCCTCTGCAAGCTTTAGACATAAAGAAATGATGGTAGGTATAAATTTTGGCAATTTTGGAAGGAAAAACTTTTTATTTAACATTGCCTTATTGAGGCTCAGTTTTCTCATTAAGTTATAATATTAACTTCTCACTAAATATTTAAAAAAAGCTAGCCAATGCAGCAAAATTTTCTCTATAAAGTTACAAACGTTTCCAATAAACCTTCTTAACAACTTTTTCAATGCAAAACGTTGTACCCCTTCAATTCTTGCACCTAACAAAAGTCATGATAAATGAAAAAGAAAATCTAAGGTGAAGAAGCATGCTCATAGGAGTCAAAACCAAGAAGTAAGTGGTCAAACTTTTAGGCATGGTTGACGGAATTAAATAATAGATCTTTCAATTCTCCTCATCATGAAACAAACAAGGCTAATTAACAGACCAATTAATAACCACCCAACAAAAAAGGAAGGCAATAACATTATTCGTTAGTTTCTCCTTTTCCCCTTTTTGATCTAGTTAAGGTTTTCTCCTTCTTCTTTTTTTTTATTAGTTTAATATTTATAAAATGAGGTCTGCTAGAGCACGCGTATAATCCCTTTCACAGTTTAAAAAGAAAAATTCCAATTACTGAGTTTTGAGCCATTCATTTTAAGTGCTTTCGTGCAATGTCAATGAGCACAAGAAGTGGGTTAAAAGAAACAAATTATAATGAGTGCAATATAATGAGTGCAAGGAAGTACGAGAGAGCATGGCATTGGCCTTGTTCATCATTAGCCATACCTACCTAGCTACGTATCTTTGCTTTGCGATCTTATTTATATATGTATAAGTTTTTTTTTAAATAAATTCGCAAGAGATCTGATTTGAATTATTGTTTGGAAAATAAAAAAATGCACTTATGCGTGATCTGACGTCAGTGGACCTGAAGACCCAAGTGCATATATATGTATAAATTAGTTTATTTGATATTATAAACATTTAAATACTTTAATTTTAAATTTTAAATTAAAATTTTAAATTAATAGGTATTAATTTGACTACATTTTTATAGACATGATCTTGCTATTATTATTACCAAAGCCAAAAAAAAAAAAAAGGGGGGTATTATTATGATTAGGCGTTGATATTCCACTATGATCTTGCTTGAGTTAAATTGAGGACTTTTTTGTGAGTTGTACAAATTTAAAGAGCCAAATTATGTTGAATGGAAAATTTTACTCAAATTGCTTTCGTCAATCATGCCTGGCACGTGAAGATTTGACAACAGATTCTCGCAACAAAACGTAAAATTGATTTTTATTTGGTCTTTTCCAATCGGGTAGACATGTGCATCTATATGCATATGAGTAGTAAGATATGAATTTTGAGATTAAAATTTTAAAATAATAATATGAGACAAATTATATGATTAAATAAATGGATATATATAATATTATAAAT